CTGGACCGGAACTCCTTAAATGACGCCGTAGGCAAGCCCTTGGTCATGATATCGGCAAATTGTTGGAAAGTAGGGACATGTAAAACACGAATATGGCCAATAGCCACCCGTTCCCGAATAAAATGAATGTCCAACTCAATATGCTTGGTCCGTCGATGATGCACCGGGTTAGCGGAGAGGTACACCGCCGAGACGTTGTCGCAGTAGACCACCGTGGCACGATCAACATGGCAGGAGAGCTCCTGAAGCAGCTGGCGACGCCACGAACACTCGGCGATGGCGTTGGCCACCGCATGATACTCAGCCTCAGCACTGGAACGAGAGACCGTAGGCTGCCGCTTGGACGACCACGAGATAAGTGAGGGTCTAAGGTAGGCACAATAGCCCGAAGTGGAGCGACGAGTGTCAGGACAGCCCGCCCAGTCTGCATCGGAGTAGGCGGTGAGGGTGGTGTCGGCAGAGGCGTGACGCCAAGATCCATAGGGCCACAGAAATAGCGGAGAATCCGCTTGACGGCAGCCCAGTGAACGTCTCGAGGAGCATGCATATGAATACACACCTTGCACAGCATATACTGTATCTCCGGTCAAGTTAGAGTGAGGTACTGGAGAGCACCAACAATAGACCGATAGAAAGCAGCCTTCGTATCAACAGGCGTAGCGGTGGGTTTGCAGTTAAGCATGCCGGCGCGCTCCAGGAGCTCATGAGCGTACTTCCGCTGATGAAGAAAGAACCATCCGGACGGTGCACCACCTCGACACCGAGGAAGTAGTGCAAAGGACCCAAGTCCTAGATGGCGAACTCACTGCGAAAACGGGCCGTGAGCTGATTGAGGAGACCAGCCGTATATGCTGTCAGGATGATGTCGTCGACATAGAGCAGCAAATAGGCCGTGTCAGAGTGACAGCCCGGATTTGCCTTCTCTCTTTTTCCGGACTTTCAATTGCATTTGCTTTGGATTTGGAGTTTTGAATTATTTCAAATGGACTTGAACACTTGGGCCTACCCTTGATCTTCACCCAAGTGACCCACCCATCTCTAATTCACTTTTCCTTCTCTGAAAAACTCCCACAAAAGTCCCTGAGAATCACTTCAGAGAAGTGTGCTCCAAAGCAACCCCCATTTTCTTTGCCCACAAAAATCTGAGAAAATTCCCAAATATTCTTTGAACCCTAGGGCAGCTCCCTGAGCAAAAACATTGCATACATTTTTGGAATATTTTTGCTACAGAAAATCATTTGTGTTTTGGAGAAAATGGCCACATTGCACAGCAAGTATATTTTTGCTTGATCTTTTGGGGATGATCTTTTCGGAGCTTGATTACTAAACGCCAAAGCACAGCCTTTAATTCTCACTAAATTTTTCTCAGTGAAGCTCACAAGTTCTGTCCAGAAACTTGCCAGGAGTTCACCTGTGACCCAGCCAATCTAGCAATACGACGAAAACCACTAAGGACTAACTGCCAGACATGGTGTTTGCGCTTAGCTCATCTTGATGCCAAAGTTCATGCAGTGACCACGAGAGTCCTAGGTGTTTGGCATGCGGTTGACGCGCTCTACGGTGTGCCAGCGTCTCTGTTGCACACGTGCTCGCTACCCCGGCCGCCGCACCTTGCCAAACCGCTCCCCCATCTTCGTTTGCACCTCCTTAACTCCACCCTGGTGCTCGCCGACGCTGGAGCTCGCCGCAGCAAGCACGGACACGGCGCGGCCGAGGCAACAGTGCACCCGTGCCCCTGTGTTCGTCGCCTACCGTGCTCCTGTGCTCATTGCAGCTCGTCTACAGCCTCCGCATGATCTCCGGCGTCTTCCCCCTATCTTACTGACGCCCTTCATCGCCGGGCGACACTCCAGTGAGCTCCGGCGAGCTCTCAATCCCCGCCTCGGTCTCGCCTATAAATAGAGCTTCCCCGAGCTCGTTTCTCTCC